ACCTTAATGATTTGCTCCAGCTCAATGTTTAGAACTTGGTTAAATTGAGACTCACTTACTCCATCCCTAAGAAAATTATCAAAATCAATAATTTAAGCAATGAAATATTTCAAAGTACATCAGAATGAAACAGAAGGAAATCCATCCTACAGATCAGATGCAATGATGCATAAAACACATGACGAGAAGCTTTAACCAAATATGAATTAAATTGTCTAGGCCAACATTTCAAAGTGAATATGATTGGTTACACAAGAAATATGAAACAATGACTTCCATCTTTTGTTTCAAATCTTAAGAAACAAGTGATAATATAACCTCTTGCAAACAAACCAACATGGTCACACATGCACATCTAAACTTAATGGCAACTCCCTCCTCCATTGCAGAAACCAGTTAACAAGCTTAAAAACCAGCAAAGGGAACAGAGACCCTTCCATATCCACATGTTTTTTTCTCACTTTTTTAAAAATGTTTGAGGATATTTGAATTCCAACCGTCTAACTCCTACTCCTGGATTAATAAAACAAAAATGAATGAAAACAAACATACAAGCATACATACCTGAACACAATAATCTGTTTTGGTTTGCAACCATTGCTGGTTTTAAAGAAATCTAAGAGTAATTCCCTGCAACAAAAGAAATGAACTCACTTTTGGATTTACATTAATCTTAAACTATATCCATCATTTTCCTTTTACAGCACCATATAAGCCAGTGCAACACAACATTTATTGTGGTATCACCTCAACATATTAAAATAAAATTTAAATACATATTGATGGTGCATCAAATATCTAAAAGATATGACGAACATGCCAATACATCAGAAATCATATTTTTAATGCGTTGTAATATTATTCATTCAGACATTCAGTGTTAAATAAAAGTATATATAATTAATGGTAAAGAAATGACTAAAAATTCATCTTGATCTTGTTTATTAAAGAACCACAAGAATAACAGTCTTTCAAATCAAATAAAAATAAAATCAAAACATAATATTATATCATAAAATTATGCTTCAATATCAAAGCCCTCAAAGGGGAAAAAGAGCATTAATGGCCACAAATGGAGTTCTGGCTATGATTTTACTTGAATACCTGATGATACCATCATCATTTCCATTTGCTAATGGCTTATATAAAGCATCAATCATCTCCAACTTTGGTGATTGTGTTCTCACAGATGCTCTGTACCTTGAAATCAGTGGCCAGCAACGTGAACCAACAACCTGAAAGTTACAGGAGATTATAGTAGTAACTAGAATATATGGCATCACCAAATAAAGGGAAAAGTTATAATGCTTTAAAAAAAGTCAGAAATTAATTACTGCAGCTATTGATGGGATATCTGATCGACCAGGGGAGCCATGAGAGACATCCATTCCCAAAATCAATGTAGGAATATCTTTTATCAGAGGAAGATTTGAGGGGCGCTCTACTTCCAACAAAGAATTGATTCCTCCAAGCTATACAGAAGATAGACAAGAGGTAAAAATCATAGTGCATCAGAGGTCTAGATTAACATAGAACAATTCTCTAAGATCAAAGATATAAGATTTACCTTTGCATTGATTTTAAGGAGTACATTTGTGAGGTATTGGTCATTAACTTTTACAGGGGAAATGCATTGTGTGACAATTCCAATATCACTAAGACATTTTTTCTTCCAAGGTCCTTTTCAATGCATGAAAAATGTCAGATGAATAATCAAATAGGAAATGAATATCAATAACAGGAAAAGCCTTACCATAAATATCGGAGTTCTTCCTCACTGGCAAGACACATAAAATAAAATCAGGTGGGCCAGGAAGCTTTGATTTAATCTGATCAAACATCACTTCCACTCTAGCAGCAGGGCTGGCACCAACTGTCTGTGGATCCTCCTCAATCAGTGTGTGTGGGCGTTCCATTTGCTTAATGGATGTATACATTCGTATAAGTTGTTAAAATAACCAAGTTTAATAGGATTATAATCCGAAACAGCCAACGTATGGTATAACTTACAATGCCCTTGTTTCTTGCACAACTGATGAGATCCCTTGAAATGCGACTAATGTCACAGTGGGCAGAGAAGTTGACAACAATCCAACGTTCGATTTTTTTTGGATCCAGAAGTTTCTGCAAAAGGATGGAAGGTAAAATACATAAACATCAACTGTTAAATCAAATGCTATAGGAAAGAAACAAGAAATAAGTCAAACTTTGAAGCACAGAGCAGCTATGAATTAAGATTGGAACAAACACTTCATGCTATTAACATTAAAAATGAGACAAAAAAAATCTCTCTCTCAATGCTACCTTGTTGTTAAAGTTCCAACGTCCGTTTCTTGGGATACAAACCTCATGGTTACCAACCTTCAACTGCAAATAACAACCGAAAACTCGTTATAATGAACCCATGATGCACCTTAAAAGTGGGCAGGCTCTCCTGCTCTGTCTCTTCTTGACACAAAGAGAGCAATAAATACATACCCTTGGGGCCTCAAGGACACGACCATCAACTTCTGTTAATTGCTTTCCTGTGGAAATTCCACATGCAGAAAGTACAGGATCCTCATTATATTGGTTGCTTCTCACAGCCTGCCAGATTGATGAAGCATTAAATTCTGTAGTCAAGACGCAATTACACATATATGGATATGGCCATAAGAATGACAAAGAAACATACATCAGTCAAAGTTCGCATTCTATCCTGAGGCTTTTGCCTGGATCTTTCAACCAGGGTTGATCTTTGATTCAAAGATAATGCTTTTGTATACCGCTGAAGTGAAACAAGTGAACAGAGCTAGATCACCACAAAATGGAAAGTCAGAATTTTAGACGTGTGACAAACGTGTAGAATGTA